TAACGCATGCTGTTAGGCCAACAGATACTTAAAGCAACAGGTGCCAGGGCAAGGTGCAAGCACAGAGGTCCTTGGGGCAGTAACTTCAGCCACTTTCTGAAGTGACTTTCAACTTAATCCAACTTTCATTGGACAGAGCGTGCAGAATTGGGAGGAAGGCCCAGGGCAAACGGTCACGCTGGCCGCCTGCAGGGCCTGGGCCCCAGGGAGCCAGCGCAGCCGGGAAGGCCGCTGCGCACAGCAGCAGAGGGGCCAGCTCCCACACCAAGGGCTCTGCCAGGCTCCATGGGGAGAGCTGCACCTTTCAAACAGATCCTTGTCTGTGAGGGAACTGATCCATTTCCTCAGGGCTGCCTTGTCAGGCTCTCACTTTCCAGGCTGCAACGGGAGACTTAGTTAAGTGGAAACACTTGGCACCTTTTCTTCTTAAGGAAAAGAGCAATACATCACCTTGTACCTTTTAATGTTTGACTGCTCTTTTGGTATTAGAAAATAACTAACTACATTACCGTACCTGGGGAAAGGCAGGATGGTGGTATCCCAAATCCAAGGCCTGTGTTGGGGCCCCCAGCTGCCTGCCTGGCCCTTCTGGCACCTCCATAGCCCAGGAAGCATCTGAATAGATCTAGGATTGGGCTCCTCCTTTTAGGCAACTGCTTGCACCACACAGGGGCCAGCGTGTGACCCAACCTGCCACAGAACGGGCCGGGCGCCGCTTGAGGGAGCGCTGAACCTCCGCACCCCCGAAACACCAAAACTACCCCAGCCCCTAACCCGGCACCACATCCTTCCCCAACCCATCTGCAACTCAGCCAGTCTTGGTGGAGAGACAAGAATCTGTCCTGCAAAAAGCCGGCCAGTGACTGCGAGTATTTTCCTGTCCAAGTCCCGTTAGAGCTTCAGTGACTTTAGTATTTGCTAGAGATTAGGAAAAGTTAAATCTTCCTTGCTGCATATGAAGGCCTTTTTACTTTCACTATGAGCGGGCAGAGTGAGTTGCTTCCATTTTCTTTGCCAGTTTTTCTGTATTTGAAGGCTTTCTTCAGACTCTGTAGCCCTTAAGCTAAAGGCCGATTCCAGCAATTCTTATCTTGAAGTACCAAGGGAGAATATACAAAAAAACAAACAAACAAGCAAAACTGCTATGCAAAATTCATCACATCATGAGAAGATTAAATTTAGACACATTTCCTCCACTTGAGAGCTTGTGGCTGTGGTATTTTAGTGAGGAGCACAAACACTTTATTTATGAAGGAAGAGACAGACTAGCCTCCTTTTAGCATTTTTCCAGACAGGCCTTCAACTCTCTTCTCCACAGTTGAACAAAGGGCCCCAGTTGCAGACGCGCCACGTGGGACCGGCTGTTACGGCAAAAGCCGTCGCCTCCTGAGGAGTAACGGCCCTCAGAGACCCTTGTGCAGGGGCGGCCGAGACCTGCGCGGCCGCCGCGTTGCCGCCCTTCGGCACTCCTGAACAGCGGCCCGGGCTCCGATTTACTCATCAACAAACTGCTCAGAGGAGAAAAAGGAAGTATTAAAAGCATTTTAAGTTCTCTAACTGGTTGCTGCAAAAATTATATTTTGTTTATACTTGGCATTAAAATCATATTAGGCACATTTCAATAAACGATCACTTAAATACAGTGATCCCCTCCAAGCACCAAACACACTCAACTACTATTTGTGCAAGAACATTCACAACCCCTTAAAAGTTATCCAAAATGTTTCTCTGTTAAGTTATTCCAAACTCGAGCTACTCAGACTTCAGAGTCGACTCTGTAGAAAAGAGGAATAAAAACCCTCAGCTGATCCACACCTGTACATTTCTTGTTGATTTGGAAGATAGAAAGCAAAGTCTTATTTACAGAATATATCCTTTAAGGCAAATACTACTGCTTTATGTTCCCTTGTACATGCATCAGAAGGAGATGGCATTTTTTTTTTAAGAGGATAAATGTGCAGTGGCCCTCACTGCTCTTTTGCTTTAGCCATGGGAATATACTGCAATGTGCATGTGTTTTACCTGGAAGCAAATTCCTTTCTGCAGCAGTAAGGTCAGATGGATTAGAGAGTTGACACTGTCACACAAAAATGGACACTTCATGTTTATGAACAAAGTCTAAGTTTAATCTAAACCTAGTTTACAGTTGCAGCAGAGGAAGAACAGTTTCAGTCTTTCCAGTAAACGAATGTGGCAGAAGCTGTGTCCGTATCAGCAGGTAACTGGGTACAACAGGAGGCAATGCCCAGAACAAAGCAGTCATGTTCAACCGTGCACCTCCCCTGGACGCAGCCTCTCAACGTGCTGATGAGGGCTGCCCTCAGCCCAGCCCTCCAGCCACCCTCAACACACAGGGGATTTTCCAGCTGTCTGAGGGACTAATCACTGCCCTGGACCCACACTGGGAGCTGGAGCACATCTGTGGCTCGCCTAGGGCAGGCTCCAGGTGGGTTCTCCACAAGGAAATGACCTCAGATGACCAAAAGCCAGTCAGGAGGTCAAGCCAGTAAGTGGGGATGAAAGAAGGATTTACTCCAAAACTGCAGAGACTGCCACAGCAGAGTGAATCCAGCTGGAGCCCTCCCCTGAAGAGAAGGCCTCTATCACCATATAACGGACTCGGCCCTGGGCTGAATAACCACTTGCTAATTACCCGGGAGTTGCGTCCCGGTGTTCCTGACCGCACCAGCAGGGAGTGCTGCTTCCAGCGCCCGCAGCACGAGCGGCGCCCGGGCAAACAGCGCTGCCGCATCCAACCTGGCTCTGCCGCCCGTGGGGATTTTCAGATGGACATGCAAAAAGGGGCTGCTCAGGAGAACTCGAGGGCAGAAGCACCACTCCTGTTCCAGATGTGCAGAGATTATTTACTTGCATATGAGTTAAAAATTAACTAGTAAAAAGGGGGGGCACTAAGATGTATAAGATGCAATACATTTCATACACGCGAGCATTTTACAAGTCCGTATTACAAGTCATAATGTCTAGTACATCAACATTCCACAATACAAAGTTCATCTTTATATTTTAAAATAGAATATAATAAATATTAATTCACATTAAGACACTTGCCACAGCAAAATTTCTCAGAGAAAGTGCTTTACCTACACAAAATACCCTAAATCCTACTAAACGAGCTCTGAAGGTCTCCACCTTCAAGGGGGAGGGGTGAAAATAAAAGCAGTACAAGTGACATCCAGAAAATTTGAGAGAAGTCAAGAACTCCCAAGTTTACCATGTGCCTCAACTGATAAACTCAGGTCAACTTCATCTGGACAGTCAATGCCACAAGTTTTATACAATATGCTGTTTAAAAATAGTAACATACTTGATTTACATGTAATTTGCTTTTTTAAAAACTGTAACTTAATAAAGCTGATGCTCAAGGGGTAGCATTGGCTCACAAAGCAAATTAAAAAGAAAGAAACCATTAGCAATATAAATCTATTTACGTCATCCTACAGGCAGAATTGAGCCTGCAGGATGCTACTCTCTGAACATGAGGATTTAGACTATCCAGGGACTGAATGAACAGCGAGGGAAACACAACAATAGAGCTCTTTGTGGTAAAAATACCTCTTTATTACGAATATATTTAAAATTAGCTTTCTGTTGTAGATAAGAAAAAAATAGCATTCTGACTTGTAGCCAGTGCTGATTCCGGTCACAGGCAATACTCTAACAACTAGAATAGTTATTTGCACCGCTGTTGCCCATCAGCGATTCTCACAGCTGTCCAATTCACCGTCTCCTGTTCCTTAAGTATGCTGAAGGAAACACCGTTACCAAGGTTTGGATTTCGCCCTTAGTGAAGATGGACAGAGTGCCTGGGCAGCGATCCGGGACCGCCCTGAGCTCACACAGAGCTTCTAGGAGGCTTCTTCTAGCGACAGCAGCTGCGCGGTACCAGCTGCTGCAGGAGAGCGTTAGGAGGGCAGCGCTCCGGGCGAGCGCGGCAGGGCAGGGCCCGCGGCTCTGCTGCACGGCCTGCCCTGCACGGAGCAGCAATTCAGAGAACTTCAGTCCATTCTCTGCCCCTTTATACAAAAGCACCGAAGAACAAAATTTAGGGGTATTGCTATTAAAATTTAAACCTTTGTGTTTAAACCTCAGACTACTTGGGTGTGTACATTTTCTATTCAATCTACTAGATTCTTTCTCTTGCTGTGGTGTAACTACAAGGAAAGGTGATTAATTGGCTCATGCTGTAAACAAAGATACACAAGCCCTGTGTGTGAGCTTCACTATTTTATAAATCTGCACAAATACCTACCTTCCCAACACATAAAAAAAGCTCTTTACCATCAGAGCATATCATTAGGTATCATCTTGTAACATATGTTTTCATTCAATTAAAACAGATATCTCTGAAGGATTTTGTCTGTGCTCTTAAAAGCCCAAAGTCCCTTTTCAATACCAGATCCATCAGACAGGGAAAGTATTCTCCAGGCAAATTTGTTATTTTTGTCTTGTAGTTTCTGGCATTCTTTGCAACCAATATGAAGTCATAAGCTACAAATTTTAAGTTGACTTCCATATGTAGATGTTTCTTAAATAGAGATGGGGAAAGAGAGGATGATTTGGGAAAAAGTGGATGATACTACAATCTCCCGAACACTAAGAATATGCAATTTTGTGGCTGCTTTAAGCAGCATTTCAAATATATATATAAACGTCACAAAATAGGCTTTATCAGGAAGCAATTTGATACTCAAATAAATAGAAAAATTTGCATTTTAATGTCACATTGAGTTTTAGTACATTTCAATCCAAGAAAAAAAAATAAACTGACAGACACGGTAAGAGTACAGGATTATATATATTACAATATGCCTTGTTATAATACATTTGTGGCTTCACGGTAAAAAACTCAAGGGCAGATGGAATCTGAGCTCATTTAAGTAATTGTCAGGAACAAAACATTAAATGCAGTTCTGAAATAAGTATTTTTATTTAATTTCAAAATCTTAAAACAGCATTAGACCTTGGCCCTTAAAAAAAAAAAAAAGGTTTAGTTAACACGGAGCTAGCTAAATAAGTATTCTGAAAGGTTCAAACAATATAGAAAATGCTTTCCCCAGTTCTACATACCATGAAAGGATAGATGATTTCAAGGGCACCTATGGCTAACTCCAGGTTGGGCTTGACCTAGTACTGCATACCCTAATGATCTCTTGAAGGAAGTTTTGGGTCCATTTCACATGAAAGCAAAAGAAAGGGTTACTGTATGCAAAAATATTTTTCAAACTGTTCTTACTTTGTAATTGAAAACTAAAGGCATGGTCTCTTCATTATAAAAAAATAAAGGTGCAACAGAAACTCTAAAGGAAGGTATTCAGCTACACTGAAGTTGCAACCCTCTGAAAAGAAAGAAAAAGGAGGAAAAAAAAAAAAGTCAACTAGCTAAGCTTTGTGCTCTAACCAAACTACTTACAGTGATTTTCAATGGCAAAAGCCCATGCTGACTGGGTGATTCGACAGTTCCGGATACTTTTTGCAATAATTTTTATTTTTATACAAGGACACTAAAATGATCCAGTCATGCAATGTTCATTTTAAGCATTCTGCATCTCTTTTCCAATCTTATAGCTAAGGATCTTGTTCCAGTCAATCTTGGTGCGGGTAACTGGCAACTGTCGACGTAAGGCCTTGAAGGTAGTGTCCGACATAGTCTGATAGTTCTCACTGATAGCAGTCTGTTAAACACAGGAAAAGTCACACAAAGCAAAAAGACACATGAAGAGCAGAACTAGCACGTTACATAACGAGTTAAGTGACTACATGGTGTGATGGCTCTTAAACAGGTTTATTAAAAATATGCTACATTAACATCAGTTATGAAAGCAAACTATTAGCTAGGATTAAAGAGTGTGAAGTTGCAGTAAGACACAATAAAACTGTCTCTAAACAACGTGTGTTTCTGTCTGTTAATCAGCAACACGAACATGTGTTGGTCAGTTAGCTCTGTTCATTCCAGATACCAAAGTCATCCCCTTTTTCTGTGGGAATGGTAGTCAGCCCAAAACACAGCATAAACATAAATATAATGCATGTGCTGCATATTTAGTAAAATTTTGCTGATTTTTTTTTAAACTGTCAAAACAAGTTATTCTGTGTCTGAAACTTACCACGGCCTAAGGGAACATAAAGCCCCTTCTACAAAGCATATCTAGAACAGTTACACTTTTCTGATTTTAAAATGAGCAACTGAAGTGAATAACTCTTACAGTCATATGTAACAAAACTATTTTAGGGCATCCTATGAACAAAACGTATGTAAAAATCCCACTTAAGGAATGCAATAAAGCTCAGATGCACACTGCTGTTTGATCACCCTAGGCACTGCAGAGAGGTACTTTTTTCTCTCAAAGAATGCCTTCTAATGGAAAGGTGAGCAGGTGGGTGCAAACACCAGGAGGTTTGGAGAAGGAGGATATAGTTAACAGTAATATGTAATCTATCTGTTATTTGTGAACAACTACATCTTCATATAAATTTCACAAAATAAGCTGAAGGGGTTAGTGATTTTTTTCACCAACAGAAAGCCAGATTTCCTACTTCAGTAAATCAATTATATCTGCTCATTACAGAATACTGGCTTTGGTTAAGTATGTAGCGTTCTTTTACATGTGAGAAAGGATATAATACTTGTTTCCAACTCACCTGATACTCATTTTCTGCAGCCTCTACAATTTTTATAAATTCCTTTGCTGTCTGGGCTTCATTCTAGAAAAAAAGGTGCATCTGAATTAGGCCTGATGTACAGCGTGACTCTGTGAAGACTGACTTATGTTTTCTCCTTGTAACTACAGAAGATGTCAGTTGGACTCCATGGGAATACTTGACCAATTCAGGGCTAAAAACAGTTAAACCAAATATACTTCCAATACACGTGCCACGTACTTTGTTGCCACGTTTTTACATCTGAATTACACTTCATTGTTGCACTGGTTCAGAGTAGAAACTAAGATTATGGGGAGGCAAATCTACCAAGTACAAAGCAATATTGGTTTACTCACTTGCAGAAAGCTCACAGATCTATTAAATGGTAGCAAATACACATTATTATGTATATGTAATATAACAAATATAAATCAAATAAATATAAATCAAAACAGTCCAACTGCAAAGAGCATAAAGATTACCATGAAGCTCTTTAAAAATAGCTTGATTAAAAATACTATGGTTGGTTTGGTTAAATAAACAAAATTCTGTGAACAAAACTGTGTTTGCAAGTATCACACCACACATGTAAATCTCTAAAAACATGTAAAGTACAGATGCTACCATTATCAATGTCAAAACTTCCCTACAAATTCTGAAAAGCTTCAAGCACTTCAGTTAATCAAAGAGTACACAGCATAAAAAGCAAACAAAAAGGCTGCACAAAATAACATTTGGTCAAGTGAAACGTTTCTTGCGTCTAGCAAAGGAATCAAGGCCACAAAGCTCTATGTTATATACATGGTCTTCTAAAAATATCTACAAGTGTGTTTTGCAAAACAAGGCAATTCACCCCATTCCAAAATCTGATCCTGACTAACATCATCTTGGTTTGAGGCCTCATCCTTGAGCTTCTAAGTGTGTTTTTGGTTTGTTTGGTTTATAAGCCCCAGAGACCCACTAGAGTCAAATCTGCAGACAAGTCAGCTTGAAAGAAGAGTCAGTAATAAGTGAGGTGCCATGAATTTCAGAACTCACACCTTCCTAAGAGCCTGCTCCTCCTGAACATGCCACCAGCAGGGACCACTCCGGTCCCACACGCTCTCCTCAAGCCTTCAAGATTAGTATTTTGAGCTTAAGTCATCAATGACAAAATACTAGCGCACGCAAGAAAAGGGACCAGACTAAGTGACCAGGGGAAGACTATGGTAGCTTCAACTTAAACTGAAGCAAAGATTCTATGAAACTGCACCTAACAGGAGAGCAGGAACAGGGGAAGGTAGAGACCAACTGGACAAAACAACTTCACGGCTGCATAAGCAAGAGAACTCTTGTTGTTTACGTCAGTTACGTGCTGCAGAGAGAGCATTACGTTATGTCAGTTATATCAGTTACATGCTGCAGAGAGAAAACTGCCATACCAAGAAAGGACAAGTCTGGGGGCTCCTTTTTATCTACCATTCCTTTTATGTGATGTAAGAGTCTGTGCTGCCTTTGCCCCTTTGAGGTGCAGGTCCAAGGTTGCACACTGCAACCAGCAACATCATGACTTTCGTCCCATCAGGAGATGGACAGAAACTTAAGAAAAAAATGCTTTTCTACTCATTGTTCTTCTGCCATTTGTTCAAATGGCAGAACCGGACTAAGCTACTTCCAGTACAAAAGATGAAGCAAAAGCTACTGAGAGGGGAACTTCCCACAATTTCACCAAAACAACTGTTGGTTGAATGAAAGACTAAACAGATCCCTCTCCTTTGGGGTCAGAAGTAATTTTATGTCTACAGCTCCAGAAGTGTTATCACTTGGTAGAACATTCCCCCCATTCCTCATGCTGCTACTGCAAATGAAAAGCTAACAAGCCTTGCTTTGTATCAATGAACAATGTTCTTTATTGATGATCTGGTCATCAAGCTACAAAAGCTTCTACCGTTTGCTTTTTAAATTTCCTTTTGTCAGTTTAACCTCACTTGCTTAAATTTTAATAAAGTAGTATTTCCAGCAGGAAATATTACTGTTTATAAATATGATCTCCTAAGCAAGAAGAATATTACCTCCAAAATAACAGCTGTTCATAGTGCAACATTACCTACTCTTAATGGATGCATCCGTGACTATTCCCAAACACATTTCCAAACACTACTCCTCATCACTACAACGTCCCTTCTGGAAAGAAACTGCAAATAACAATAATAAGCCTTAAATCCAAAGTGTGTTCTGCCTCCCAAGCTGAGGCAGCTCTGAAAGGGCTCTCTGTCTTGCTGCAGGCAGGAGGCTCAGCCCCAGCTCCCCACGGAGCCCAAGGCCCAGGGAGCACTCGCTGCTGCGTCGCTATTTCCAGAACGTTGGCGCTCCAAGGGCTTGTGCTATTTTAACGCGTAGGTGAAACTCAACTCCACGTTGAAAACACAACTCCACAGGTCACTTTGGAGACTACAGTGAATAAATATATACAACCAAAGTGCAGAAAGCAAGCTGCTTTAAACTTTACAATCAAAGTTAATTTAGCTTATACAAGCCACAGGCAAGCCCACACTAAGGTAATTTTCAAGGGCTTCAGACATCTGAGTTTTTCCTTCAGTAACTACATGCTAGGTAGGAGCCATAATACTATACATCAAATTATATATAATATTACATAGTATTTTATAGCAATTAAAACATGGATTCCCATTCATGAAGAGCAAACTTGCTCCCAAATTTCTTATATTTTTAAGCCTTGCCTCTTTTTCAAAATTAAAAAGCCACTTTGACATACACATTAAGGTCTCAAAAGTTTACTTACGGACACTGTTAAAGAATCCTGTATGTCTTTATGGCTCACTAGCTGAACATTACCATCTTCATAATAGTGAACCTATAAAAAGGTAGACAAAAATATGTTAAGTTTTACAAAAAACAACATGTAGGAATATGACAAATTATATATTTAAATATAAGTGTATTTAAGGTATTTAAATATCTTTGAAGGAAGACAGTAAAGAAGCTGTGGATACTGTGGATATCTTTCCATACTGATGTGCCTTAAGCAGCATCTCAAACAAAGCAGCCTCTGAGGCAAGGTGTGCTCACTCAGTACGAAGTTGGGATCTCCCAAAGAAACAGTAGGACTAAAAAGTCCAGTTCCCCCAGCAACTTAATCAGAAGCCCCTGCAGAGAGTCCAACCTGCCTCGTGCTCTAAAGCCGACATCAGCACAAGTCTCATGTGTCTCACCGAGTCACCGTCTTAGTGAACATACTTGGGAGGAACAGGGATGAAAAGTGAAATCTATTTCTGAGACGTGTTATTCCTTTTCAGGAAACATGATAAGTAACAGCTCTGTACATGCGTTCCTCACAGCGACATCCTTCTGTAACACTAGGTCTGGCTTCAGGCAAAGCCAAGAAGGATGATGTTTATGAAGAGAACTTCTTCGGAAAGGCTAAGTAAGAAGGGATAACAATAAAATTATCCAGCAGGTAGTATTTCGAGCCAGGACACCTATCAGTTGTTTTTCAGGCACAGTGTGAGCATGCCAAGCATCAGGGAAGCTTCACTTCCAGCAGAACACTCTGCTGTTGCACAGTTTGTCCTTACAGAGCAGGAGAAAGGACTTGACTCTGTGCCTGCTAGGTTCCACACTCTTCTGAAATAATATAATGCTGAAAGCCAGATCATTTCCTACTGTCTTAAACTCATGCAGAATGTGTACATATCCTGGGAATCGGACCAGGATGCCTAATCCTGCTGCCTCCCACATGACAGTCATCATTTCTTTGGTCTCAAGATTCTTGTTTTTTTCTCCATCTCCTTTCTGAATTCTCTAAAGTTGATAGGAAGGGCAAGTTCTGAACGAAGATGATTTGGGTTGAAAAGTTTCAGATAATGGAATAACTAAAACCAAAGGTTCCCATCCTTCTAAACAGTAGGATGAATAATACACTAAAGACTGTTACTATCACTTAAAAATAAATAAAATCAGTAGTGCTACATCACAAAACACCTACCCTCAAGAAGCATCTGTGCAAACAGGAATGCTACTTCACAGCACAGGAAACTGCAAGAGGGCCCATCCAAGGTCATTGGAATCAGCACTTAAATACTTACTTGAAAGGATTAGATTCGTACACAATTAATTGGCTAAACACACTGAATAGGTATCTCTACTTGCTATATTTGGGACCTCAAATTTTCTTGTAATATTTAACACACTGGCCTCAGACTCTCTTGATAGTAAGTGGAGATCTTACCAAAGAGGATAAAATTAAGAAAATAACATGGGCAAATATACCTGAATTTTCAAGATGCCAGCCACTTGAGTGGTTGAAGGGGTGATCGTAAACTTCCATTCTGACCTCCAGCGGCCATTCCTTTAAAAGAGGAAATCAGATGCAAGTGAGGCAAAGAAAACTCTTTTAGGCAAAGTGGTCAACTTTGAGAATTTGTTTTCACCCTATTGGTCAGGGGAAAAATAAAATAAAATAAAAAATAAAACAAGGAAAACAGAGAATGAAACACCCAATACACAGGCAGAGAACCTTTCAAGCTGTAAATAAACATTCAGCCCCACAGCCAATCAAGGAAAGAACTGTTTTCTGGAATATTTATCCTCTCTTTTGGACAAGAGCCATGAAAATTTATAAGTAAGTACCTTTTAACAATAGGACTTAGCTTCTAAAAAAATCCAAGGAGTCAAACACTTTTTTCCCTTTTTAATTAGGTATATATAGTCAACATTTTATTTCTACATCCTCAATCTCCTCCTGAGTCAAAGTCACACTTAAGCAAAAAACATCAGGCTGCATTTTTTTTTAAATAAAAGGCATTTGAATAGCAAGACTTTCAGCAGTACTAAGCTGTTAGAAGGGCTTTCAGCTCTTCAGTCATTTTTGTTCCAGAATGGCAACTGCTTCCTTTACACCAAATTGCTTAAAGGGAGTTTCAGCCATCCAGAACACAGCATGGACAGACTGTAGTTTCACCCGATTTCTTTCCTGCAAACTAGACATTTTTGATCTAGTTAGGTTAGTGGGTTAGCTGGTTACATTAGAGCTATATTAAGACAACGCTGTGGCTGTGTCTCAATTTCTCCTTTAATTACACTTAAAGGAAAGACAGTTTTACATGTTAGGTGTAGGTGTAGATTCAAGTGCAGCCGACACAGGGAGATATAAGAACTTGGATGCTACCGGATACCAATGGATCTACTTTGACATTTTATATAAATATATATATGCCTACACACACACACACACGCGTGCTCAAATAAAGTGGCATCCTTCTGTATGAAGTGTTCTACATTAAACAGAATACCTCTCTGCTTTATTTGCTGCTACTGAATTTTTCTTGGGGATGTCACATATTTTCATTATCCACCAAACTGGCACAGCACTGACTGGCTAAGAAGCCTCGTCAATTTTGAATCCATTTCCCCAGCCCCAAATCTGATGAGGTTTTATTAATGCATATTTTGCTAAAAAGAATAATTTGACTACTTGGTAAAACTTTTAGGAACATAGTCAGAGATATCTGACCTTTTAGGAACTCGGAGATATCTGACCATAATTTTCTTTAAAGAGAAGCCTCAGGAACTTTAGATTTTTATCTATCAAACTGTTGCATATGTGTTTCTCTTTATATAAGAGCTAAAATATATTTATGAACTGTGCATATTCAATTCGAAGTGTATGGGATAGTTTATGTGCAAAGCATTTTACTGATACAGACTCAGGGCTGAACAAGTATTTATATATAACAGAGTTTTCTGCATTTTCATTTGGTACCCATGGGATTGCTAAAGATAGTATCAAGCTGATGCAGCACAGCAAATAAAACTAAAACCTAAAATATTTAAATAACCCAAAGTTCACTCCAGATCATGGGAAACATCCTTCAGCCCAGAGTCCATCACCAAATTAATTAACAGTTTGGTTCATTAGGCAGGACTTATTTCTACCCAATACAAGGTTTTAATTTACTGTAAGACTTTGATTAAATGATAATCTTTAGGCCATTTTCTTTCTCTAAAAGATGCAAACTAGAACAAGTCATTTTCACTCTGTCATCACAGTGGAATTTCACCAAGCACAAATCACTGCATTAGGGAACACAGAAACATGTAGTGGTGCCAGTAAGGAATTTTCTACATAGTATCTGCAATTTCATTTGGAAGTACCTTAAGCCCTGCTTTCACCTAGACGTAAGCTCTGAAATGTTTGTTCTAGCCACTGGGCCTTGGAGATCATAATAAGGATGTTTTTTTCTTTTTACTGGACATCTTTCTAGGTAGACTGCTTTACAGGAGGATTAAAAAAAAAAAGAAAGAAAAAGAAAAATATCACCTTTTCTCCCTACCAAGTATTGCTTACTTGACAGAAACATTTTTATTTGACCATTTTGCATTTTCTTCAGTATTTTGCCTAAGCAAAATTCTTTCCTCTAGAGTGAATAGAATCCAGTTAGTGAAAGCTCTCTTTTTGAAAGCTCCTGTGGGTGTTAAATTTTCATGAAGAAAAAAAAAAAAAAAGATTTGAAAGGTAACCAGTTATTCCCTGCAACATGTTCCCTCAGACACTTCATGGTATACACGTTTCAGAAAAATAGCTCACTTTAAAAAAAAGAGTGGTGGAAGGGGAAACAAAATTAGCTATTAGCTAGCAAGGACTCTCCTCAAGCACTTAAAAATGTTTACTCTGCTTTTTCTTTCCTCCTTCCCAGTTCCTCACTTGCCCTTTCCACTCAGTCCACATAAAGCACTCACACCCAAACAGTTTAAATTATTTAAATTATAGCAGTAGAGAAGCGAGCAAAGAAATCACTTTTGCACCCTAAAAAAAGCCAAGGCCAAAGGGGTTAAGAGGCAACTAGAAAACAGAGAAACAAACTATGGATATTGAGAATTACAAGATGACATTCTGTAGCAGACTTCACATCTGCTCTGGCTATCCAAATGAATCCAGAACATCCCCAAAATCATGCAAGAGAATGTTTCCACGACCAGCTTGAAGAAAAAGCATGGTAACCACTTCCAAATTTCTTCTCGTATGTGCTGATTCATTGCTCTGCCCACGGAGACACAGACATTGTACAGATACAGACATCACGAACCAGTACAGCTAAAGATTACAATACATATATATATACACACACACACACACACACTTTTTTTTTTCTTGTCATGGTACATAGTAAACCCAGGATAAACCTTCAAGAATAATATAGACTGTCTGGAGCAATATTCAATGAAGAGCTGTAAGAAAGATTCATTGGAAAGTAAAATTGGAAAATTTTGTGGAAGTTCTGCAAAACAGGATTTGTGCAATCTTCTGTTTTGCTTCTTACAAAGAAAGGACTCTATATATGGAGGAATAGATAGAGTCATATTCAAGGTTTCTGAACTTAGAATTATGCACGTATTAGCAACAGTACAGTAACTTTGTTTACTGTATTTGCATCAACATAAAAACTTACCAAAAATTTTTTGCTTGGAACTGATGGCTCTCTATGCATGCAATAATGGTCTGCTGTCCATCAATTGTTTTACCATATACCTTAGAAATGAAAAAAGGGAACAGAATGTAAGTCTCAGTATGCACTGCTCGAATTGCTTAGAATTGTCTAGTCTGATTATAGTTCCAATGTGTAATACAGCAATATTAAATTTTATAACCACTATCATTTTTACAAAACTATCAGCATATTAAACAGAAAAGCACACATTCCAAAGCAGAAAAATTTAAGATTTGAAAATCTCAAATACCACAGTCGTGGTCAATATTAATGATCTAAAATTTATTTTACTGTGAACTAACGTTTTTCTGCAACTAGGAAATTTAAGCATATAGCAATGACTTCTATGAAAATACTTATTAACAGATCTATTTCAAATACTAGTTAATCTGCATCTATTTGGTGCTATATACCCTTACAGACTGGTAGAAAGATGATAAAAAGAGCAGTTTTGGTCCTTTTTTTCTGCTTTGTCCTCCAAACCCAAGCAATACTAAGGAGAAACTCAATTGAACATGCAGCCTGTTTTCCTTTACAGCAGCTCTGGCCCACATCTGACTGCCCAGGACTCCAATTCTGATTGCTAACTCAGCAGGGAAATATGCATTTCTTTATGAGCTTAGTTTTCTGGCAGGTTAATGCAAAGAAAAGGACAGCTACCATCAGATCAGTTTGCTGAACTTCACATAGTCACAGGGCTCCTAAAAATGCATGAAGTGCTATTCTGGTCCACAGCCACAGCTTCTATTTTAAGCTGCTATGAGAATCCACTGATCCTAGTAATAAAATGCTTGTGTCTCTACTACATTTCCTATTTATCAAGTAGTTGGCTTTACTGACAGTTTTGTCAGTGAACTGACAGGCATCTGCATCTTCAGAATTTCCAAAGTAACCAGACATGGGGCCAGAGTTAATGGGATCAGTCTTCTGTAGTCTACAAAAAGCCTCAATGCTTTAATAAATTGACCTCTCACCCAAAGAATTTCTTGTTTAACTCTTCACTGACTAGACCAAAACCTAATAACCTATAGAAACCACCCACTGGTAATAGCTAAAATATTAAACTTCTAAAGCTTTCTCTTGTTTACCTGTATGATCTCTTGACTGGACTAATTACTTAGAGCTGAAACTGATTGCATCTTCTTGATTTAGTACAAGTAAAATTTTTACTTGTAGAAATTATATCCCTATAAAATTCTTGTAGCAGAATTGCTTATATTTCATGACTCAATAATAGAGCCATGCCCTCTCTTTTCCACATGGGAGGATGATTATGTCACATAATTTCACTTGACTTTACATATATTTGGTATTAGGAATTAACTTGTAAATGTTCATGACAGTCAAAGTAAGATCAGACAAACTGGATTTGCAAATGGCAAGTTCCTCAACCCAATCTCTACTAACGGAATTTAAAATACCATCAGCAACCACACTGGCATGGTTCTTAAAAACAGATCTGATGAACAAGACTAAAAGTACATCACCACGCTAAGTAACTTTGCTATTATAAGAGGACAGAGATTTGAAAATCCTACAGTCTTACAGTACACTTGGAAAGAGAATAACTGTGCTAGTAGCCTTTTAAGAGCAAATTTTAACTTTCCTTGAATGACCAGAAAAGCACAATAAAGGGTGAAAATTCTACTGAGTCATATTTATGAAGAAAATTCTCTTTTACTCTATGCTATGCTAATAATACAGTGTTTATTTTAGTACTTACTGTGCAGACACCATTTGGATAGTGTTCTTTAACATACGCTTTCATTGCTGTCTCAACTGAACTTCTCCAGGACTCTATGGCATTTTCAACTTCATGGGGCCTAGGATCAGTAGCCTCCTTTCTTAAGTGATCAAATTTAAAGGAAATCTTGTTCTTGGGATCCAAAAATTTTCCATTTCCCAGATCACCATGTTCTGTTATCAAAACCTGTATTGCAAAATTTTAGTTAACAACACTTACCACTGAATAATGATGAAAAAATACCCTGTCAAGTATAATTATATTGTACATTTGACTGGAATTACTCACATTCAATCAAAGACTAACATTTAAAACAAAGTCTGCACAAAAAAACAGAGTTGGCGGCTAACATGTCACAGAAAATCCTGAATCCTACCCTTTTGCTGTAAATAAATAAATAAATATAAGTTTATGTCTTTCAGTACTACAGATAGAGCAAACAGTATGTATAGTTCTGTATCAGTTCCACCTAATTTCAGGACAGCACTGTAGAATAAAATGTAAAGTTAATTTAGGTACTCTACATGCTTAGCTTACAAAACGATAGACAATAGTACTGGAGCATCATAATTGCAGTGAATTACAGAGAAGACATGCACCTTCCCATTTTCTTGAGAAGATGTATGTTCAAAACACCTTTAATAATTTAAGGAACATTACAAATATTTCTTTGTATTCCTACCTGTTCATCGTAACCGTCAATTTTTACTGGAGTAAACTGGTCCAGGTTGTACTGTGCAAATTCACTACAAAAGGAAAAAAACAAACAACAAAAAACATGCATTAAGCACCATCTTTTTCCTTAATTGCTGTGAAACCTAAGCAGTGGTGTGTCAAAGCCAAAACGGTATCAGTGTTTTGCACTCCAGCAAGCCCTTAATCTTGGAGCCATCTTGGTTCATTCAGAGCTCGTATTACAGATGCCGACCTCTACATCAAGATTCATGTTCAAAAGTAGCCTAGCCTGATATAAATAGACCCAAGCTTTACAGTAACTCACAGAAAGTGAAGGAATAAATACAATCTGAATTCCACAGCTATCCAACTTCCTAAGATAGACATCTCCATTCTTACAGATCAGTTGAATTTTGGTGCCAAATACAGCAGGCTTAACGTTTTCATGTAAAAAGTAGGGTCTAAATAAGCAGTATATTTTAGATGGGTCTAGCGCCTATAACATCTATGAAGAAACATAAAATCCAATTCGAAAAGGTGGTGAAGAGTTCCAAAATTCAGGTTCCCCATTTCCAAGACAGTTATTCAAATGACTATTTCCCCTGTGCCAAGAATTCAATCTTGATTAAAAGTCTGACAACGCACACAACAGGCTTTTACTTCCCAATCACACATCTTTTTAAGCAAATCACTCACTGGCAGTGAAAGTCTTAGCGAAGGACACTTTTCTTCTATGCATCTGAGTACTTACTGGGCTGCTCCTTCCCTGAGAAGATTGTCGTTATTAAGCAGCAACCGAACATCTGGAAGGAGGCATTTGCAAAGGAAAAATAGGGTTAATTCAGGCAGATAATTCAGTCGCAGTAACAACCAGCCAACACCCCACTCTCCAGCCAGGCCCCACCTACACAGGTTCACTAGGCAGGAAACTCAGAGCTTCACACTTCACGGTTATGATTTCTGAAGAAGAGTACAGAAATGGTTCTCTTAAAATGAAAAAAATCTGGTAAGCAGATATAAGCCAAACCCTACAGGTTTTGTGACAGCTCTAGGAATCCATCGAACTATTTTTTTAGAGAAGTTTGAAATGAAAAGAGTAGAAGATTCAAATAAGATCACTTAAGATGTGAATTACTCAAAAGACACATGATGTTGACTGTAATGATTGCTATATCTTGACCACTGTTAATGTTGCAGTGTGCATTGCACTTAATTTTATCTTACTATTTTTATTCTTGTTTCCTTATGACAATTACTAATCACAGCACAGTAAGAAACATACAACTATAGAACTCATACATAAGAAAACTATATAACTCATAATAAGAAACATACAACTAGTCATGTATAGAACTCATACATAAGAAAACTATAGAACTCATACATAAGAAACATACAACCACAGTCATCCTCAAAATGACTTCAGATGTACTAGACAGTAAGTTATTATTTACATACTTCTTATTAGGCACTACTTTCTGCTGCTTTTATTTCTTGTATGTAGTTGCATTAGAGAGAAGAAAAAAAATCCTGTTCACCTACGAATCAGGATTTAAAACATTCAACTTTCAAAGACAGCAGTTAAAGAATTCATAAGTCCATCTATGACATTTCTAACTCTTCTGAGTATTTCCAAATCACAGAAGGTAATAACATATAGCAATATACCTAGGATACCTTTGAAGTATTTTTCAATATTCAAAAAACTCAGAAATTTAAAGAGAAATTTTAGGCTTGCTTTTTTGTTGTTGTTTTAAAGAAATTGCTTTGATTCAAATTAGATGCTTTTAATATTTACAACACTGATAAGTAGATTCCAGTTGGACATTTAAGACAATGTTTGTTAGCTATACAACCACCTGCGCTATAATACATTACCGTGTGATGTGCGAGTGAACTTAAGGCCAGAAATTAACAGCACTGCTATGAAAAAATGTGTCATCTTCGCAGAGTTGGGTTAGTGAGCTGCTCACGATGGCTTACTTCACTAAGACATTACAAACTAAGCTTAAATAATAATCAGTTGGTAACAGTTTAATTGAAGCTCTGATCTTTTAAACATAACAGATTAAAAAAAATTCAAACTCTCTCCAGTCTCCTGCTCACTACAAGTACGCTAAGCTCACTTCTGCAAAAGATCTGTAGAATCAGAGCTACTCATAGTTTAGAGGTGCAGAACAGACCCAGTGTATCTTGGCACAAGACAGACATGACAAACTTGAAAAAAAAGAGGCCCTTCGATAAAGTTCAAAAAACATTCATTACAACTTATCTATATATTAAAGGACATGGTATGCCCAAATTCTTGCTCAGAAGGTCAGAATCTAATGCTTAAAAATGTTTGCAGAGAATTAAATACTGAATGTTCACTGTGATTTTAAACAAAAGACCTGTGTATATGCAAGACTAAATACTTGTAATAATACTCCTTTTATTTTTTTCTCAGTTATTTTAATTTTACTTGAAAAAATACAGTTTTAATCTATCAAAGATTGGTGTTTCCTAAATCAAACACCTAAAAACTAACACATGACTGATTAAAAACAGAAAGAAAACTCATCCTCACATTACTAAGAACAACAGTATTTTCCTCCACTTCTGCAGTCACAAGACAGTTTGGAATTTAAATGCAAAGATTATTATGCCAAGCTAAAATAGCTGCATAGCTCTTAAAGCGAATAAGTTTCTCGAAATAAGCTGCATGAAATGCAAGAAACTAAGAAAGCAACATTTTCAACACAGTTCTGAGTATATACATCTTAAATGCATGGACAGAGCAGACATACTCACCATTGAATACCTCATTGAATTCCCCAGGAGGAGCATGAATTATGAATTTTGCAGCTATACGCACCTTAAATATAAAAATAATTACAGAATTTTAATGCCCAGATAAGGCAGCACAAAAATCCCTTATATATATATATATATATATTTGCTCACATTATTTAACTATTTTGTCTTTGTAAGAAACGCAGAACATGAAGTTCTATCTCTTCAAGCAAGATACAGTACATTATATGTACTGGAAGTAGATATGAAGGAACTGAGTCACTCATACATTTTGTATTACGGTAAAGGAAAGAATAATGGGACAAATAGGATAGTTAATATGTTCACAATAGACCTCAACTTTCGTCCCATGAATACCTGGGAATCTACAAACTGATTCCGAGAGTGCCAAACTTCACGGCTTTCATTTCACAACACATCCTATGTCTCTACACTTTCTGAAAGGTCCACAGTTACACAGTTAAACCACAGATTAAAGAAGGTTAAAAATACTTGTGGAGACACTAAAGCACGTAATTTTTCTAGCATCTACCAAAGCACCCACAGTATGAGCAGATAAAGGTCTGAAAACCCAAGGGTTTAACGCAAGTCCTCAGGGAACTGCCTTCAGCCATAACCTCATGCTGTGCCATGAGTCAGTGCTGCCATGAAAAGCAGTCCCGGCTTCCTCCCTCCTCGCACCTTGCACCTGCACCAACGCACACAGCTGCTCAGGCAGCCAGAGGAGAGAGGTGACTTTTCTCTTATCAGATCAGTTCTCCAGGGTGCTCCTGAGCTCAGCCACACCTGCCTGCAAAAGGAACTCAAAGTCACTTCACTGATGCAAAGGAGCCTCAAAACATTTCAGCTATTACCTTCCTTGGGGAACAGCACTCAGCAGACAATTTCATTCATTCTTTTCCTCTTAACAGTGCTAGGGCTCCAAGTATCAAAATTTAAACATGATTTTCCTAACTTTAACTCCAAACAGCAGACGTTACTAGTCTTCACACTTCAGTCACCTAAGTTGAGGAGAAATTCAAGGCTCCCTAGGATCCTTCACATAAGGTAGCTGTTCACGTACAGGGGAACACCACTGCAGTTGCACCGCATTTCTGGCTCCCTCAGTCCTGTCTCCACAGGATGTGGAGCTGGGAGGTACAGCTTATGCACTGGAAGGCCCAAGTCTCAGGCAAGTGTCTCCAGCCCGGCTGCGCCAGGAGCAGGATGCGAAGCTTGGTGAGATGCCGGGGAACCAGGAGACAGCACAGAGCCACTGAGAGCTCCCTAAGGGAAACACAAGGGCTGTCAAATTCCAGCCTTCTTTCTAGACTAAATGCTGCATTTTGGACTGCAGACAGACTTTGTCTGCTACTCAGATACCTAAACCAAATCTCCTTTTTGCATATAAAGACAAAACTGCATTATACAGAGATGAATTCCACATGGCTTACTGTTTCCTTAAAATGGAGACAGAGAAGGTGAAAGCTTCTTTTTCTTTTTAATGGCAACTTATTGGAGCACTTGCCCAATAAGCAGATAAGCAGCAGGCACATCCTGGACTGCCTCCTTGATCCAAAGAAATTTAAACTCATCTGCGCTTGCCAGAGAACTCCTCCAGCCACCAGCCTAGGCGCCCTTCCCAAGCCAGGTCACACTCCCTGCCTCTTCTGCTGACGTCAGGGCACTCTGAAAAACATAGCTCAGTGTTTAGCAATCCAAAAGAAAGGCACAAGCAACCTGCTATTAGGGCGCTTATGGGAGAAGGGGGTAGAGGGCAGCTGCAGGCTCTCTTGCCAGCACATTTTACCAAATAACCAGCTGAAGGCATCTGGGTTCAGATTGCAGCCCAGGCCTTCACACTCACAAACTGATACCTAAAACCACTGGACTGGCTCAGCTCTGTCCTACAAATTCAGGTGAGGGAACAAAGTTTCTAGGTTCTGACCCAACTTCAGGTGAAGACTGCACTGCTTTTCCTGCCAAGGCTGGGCTTCCTTGGGGGCACAGAGAAGCGACACCTATAGAGACCATAGAAACATATTTATTTGAAACAAAAGGTTCCATCAGTTCTGGACTTGGTGACTTAGCAGCAACAAAGTGAGACCTTTTGAAATTAAGCAGAATTTGGATATCCAAATTGCACTTTAAATGACAAGTGTATTTTAAATTGCTAAGATCTGTAACACAAGATAAGAAGCCTGTACTATAACCTCAACAATCATTCATTTCCAACTGTTCTGGTAATGCAAAATTGATTTTCTTATTTTTCAGTTAGCACTACGAAATATTCCCATTCTTACTGGCCATATGTACTGCATGAGCAATACACATCCAGAAGAATTCAACTGCAATAGATGATTCCTCAGGACAGATTGACCGAAACATTGCTTTTAGCAAATGTTTTACTGACAAATTGAATTCCTTATTTTTTTTCCCAAAGAATTCATCTCCAATACCAATTTTAAAAAGATAGAAATGCACAATTACTCATCTGCAATGAACATCTTGGGTATTCATACTTCCAAAAGCAAGTAAACTAACATCCCTTCAGAACTTATCAGACTTGCCTAAGATGCTTTCCATGTTTTGCTAACTTGCCCTCATGAAACTTGCCCTGTTTGAAATTAACCATTTTCCCTTCATCAATTAAATCAAATTATCTGAAAAAATAACATATTTCTCAAAATCTACATACCTGAAGCCCATGTATAGAAGTCAAATCCAGAAGCCTCATTTAAAAAATATGAGATGAAAACCACTTATGGCTTCTTTATTACCACTAGTTTCCACAGAGATATCTCAGAATGAACAGTGCAAAAAATGCTCTAAGGCAGGTTTCTGTTTTCCAAAACTAGACTAATGATGAAGCATAAAAGCACAGGCCTTCCTGAGCCTCATGGAGCTGGAGATCTCCCCCTGTTGGCAGCAAAAAGCCATGGGCTCAGCTGTTCTTATTTTTGCTGAAAAGCATTTAAAGAAAGCACTTCAATCAGACACATTATAATTGAAACAAACACTGGTTATTTAATATATTGTGTAAGACTACAAATTGATTAGACCAATTGATTTGCCAAAGAGAAACAAGATAGGACTTTAAAAATCTAAAAGACAAAAAGACATTCAGGAGAACTCCAAATTCTCTACATAGTACAAAAGCTTGGTATGTCAGTAAAAAAAAGGAAAGTAGATTACATCTGAGTATTCCTTTCAAAAACAGCTCAAACTCCAAGACTGAGAAAATATTGTTAGTTTCTGAACTTACTACCCTATTCCCCCCCAAATAAACTGTAGGTGTTTTTTAGAAATTTAACGACAACGTTTTGTAGTTTCCAAAATCAGATTTGCAGCCACTGTTCTCAGTTACGAGTCTGCAAGCCGCTTGCCAGAATGTGACAGGACATTTGACAATGAAGGTTCGTAAGAAACAGACCTCGCAAACAGCTTTTGTCACAAGCCTACTTGTGGAATTGCACACTTGCCATATTTAATTCTCTGAATGCTGAAAATCCAATCTTCTACATTTTCATGAAACTTTATGCAAATTCTTACAACTTTCAGCATCGACCTGCACAAGACATACACAGGCTGAAAGGAAGTTACTCTAAAAAAAGCCTTCTGAAAACACTGAGAAGGGAAGCGTTCATACTGCAGGCACTCTCTGTACCCGAGTTTCCTATGCAGACCTGTTGCAGTCATCACTGCAGGTTTAAATTCAAGTCAGGTATCGCTATGCAGATTCACGCAGAGCCACGCAGATTCACCTTCTCGGTTTAAGTCAAACTGAATGCTGCCTTCATATCAGCTACAAGCATTCTGATTTCATAAAGTTAAAAAAAAAAAAGGGTTAAGTAAATTCTAATTGAGAAGCTTAAAAGAGATAAATATGCCTGGCTTCCATACTTTTGCCTTTATTTTGCAATCTAATCTTCTCTCAAGGCATTCTCTAAGACACGCAGATAGATCCTACTTGTCTATCATTTGCACACCGAGACATTACAAAGTTTGTTTTATTTCGAATGCCTTAAACGCAGTGCCTTGAAGTACCCCCAAACCACTCTTCCTGTTTCTGGCAAATCGGAACTGACATTGGTTGAAAAAACCCGACCTTCGGCAATGTACATGCCTATATATGGTAAAGAAAAGTGCTCTCAGAACACGCAGGAGCTCCGACAGCGCCGTGCTGCCCTGTCACTTCAGCTCTAGGACGTGCTCCTTCCTGATAAGGAACTACGGCACCCCTAGCAATAAAAGGGGCAGCAAAACTTAAATACGGTTTAAAACACACTTTACCAAGTTGTGGCTGCCTGTCAGGCATGCTGACGCACCTCTGCAGCTGCACCGTGCAGAAAATGTGCTGGTGAGCACGGTGCTGTGAAGCCACATACTTTGCCCTCACTCTGCATGCCTCACCAGCCACGCCGAGTTAAGCTGCACACCCAGCGCAGCTTGGAGACCCACCCTTCCTGTGCACCCCGGCACATCACAGTTTATTGCTCCAAAGCCATAAAAATGAAACACGCATCAAAAGCCCCAGTTACCTACATAACTGCATAAAGCCCGAGAAATGTAAGAGAAGACCTCCACAAATCACTTCTACTCGAGAAGGCCAAGAAAACTTTGTTCCTAATCAAAAGGAAAGAAAGAAGCTCTTTTGGTAGTCACTTTTATCAGTGACTTGAGCAAGTGCTGTAGAAGGGGCAAAGCATTGTGCATCATGTCTTTACTATTCTGGATTCCTGGAAAACCCTTGCTTCCTAATGAAATAAAACAAATCGCACACTCACAGGTCAACAGCCTATGTGTGTGGCAAAAAGTGGACTCGATACTGTATTTAGCATAAGCAAGCTCTGTGGTCCTGCTCTGGGAACAATACAGAACAATATAGGTTGGTTGTGCCGTGCACCACAATCCCCGTGACGGTTTAGGCGGTCTCCCTGCTGATGACCAGGCAGAAGCCTTAGTTGTGATCCACTCCATTTACAGGCAGCTTCAGTGTCATCTCACAACCAGCCCATAGCCACGGAAATATTAACATAGCTAAACTGACTCGAATGAGAGGAAAAAGTCTCATTCTCTTAAGGCTCTATCATTCAC